GTTCCTTTAGCGATTACTAAAGTACACCTTCAGGTCACTCCGTCAAGTCCGGAGGTAAGGACTCATCATACCTAACAAAACGAGCCCAAACACGGCACATCTAGTAGTACTCGGCGACCAGTTCCATTAGCGATTACTAAAGTACACCTTCAGGTCACTCCTTTAAGTGCGGAGGTAAGGACTCATCATACCTAACAAAACGAGCCCAAACTCGGAACACCTTGTAGTAGTAGGTGACCAGTTCCAATAGCGATTACAAAAGTACACTTTCAGGTCACTCCATCAAGTCAGGAGGTAAGGTAATACAAAACAGTAAAATAAGTTTCAAGTGGTTTTATTTGAAACTATTCTTTTTCTGTTATTTTAGCTATTTTGCCAACGAAACGGGTTTTTTTTAGAATTTGTGACTTGGCGTTTTAAATGTATATATATATATATATATATATATATATATATATATGTATGTAAATAGTTGACTAAGTACTTGCTCATATCACAAAACTGACTTTAAAAAAATATTGATAATTAAAATATAGAGTGATGTCCAGACTCCAGACCTCGTAGTTTTGATATTAGTGAGTAGGTACTCAAAATATTATTAGGTACTATAATACTTAGTAGTGTTGCGAACAGGAGACCTCACGGAAAAGTTTTTGTTTGGAGGTGAATTATCTGCTTGCTTTGCGCATACCATAGAAATATTAAAAACAGCTTAGGTATATCTATGGCGCATACTGTGTTCACGCTGCGCTCTCAGACTGCCGTTTGCTCTCCGCCCACTGCGGGACGCGCGGGTGAAAAACGAATTTGAAATCGTGCTAAGAGCTCGTCTTAACATAGGATTTTGTAAATATCCTTTACCATATACGTTTTTCATTATACAGACTACGTTCTGTAATTTAATTGCGAACGCATTCAATTCCTGAGCGGTTTGACCCGGGCGCGGAAGGCGTCGTAAATCCTCTAATGCTCGATCAATAATTACCTCCGGTCGGCCAAAACATGGCTCTAATGTACGCATTATATCGGTTGGGTCCCTCGCGGTAAATAATAACGCGGAGACGGCTTTCCTAGCTTCACCACGTTAACAATTCCTTAACCGTGCCATATTTTCCGTATTAGTGAATCCGTACAACCTAGTGGATTCTTTCATCGCGGCATCATAGCGTTCAACGCTAACCATTCCGCGGGCGCACCGTTAAAAATAGGCAGGTCCTGTGTTTACTTCGCGGCGGCGGGCCTACATCTCACCATGCTTTCTAAAGCTTCCGCAAGCCGTTCAATTCCCCGGTCTTTCCCTCGCGGGGTGAGCGACCTATCTCTATCCTTATTCATTAATCTTTCCGGCGACACACGACGATCTCGGGATGTATCGCGGTTATAAGGCGACCGTGGCCTATGAAGATCGCGACGATAATCTACGTTCCTCGCGGCGATGTGGCGATGACGACCTACAACGTACTAGCGATAGAGTGCAGTATTAGGCGCGTGTCGGCGACGTCACCCTTACATGGTGGTTCGATCGTTTTGATTCGGCGGCGGCTCCTAATAAGTCCGTCTGCGCTGTGTGGTTACCGTGACGCGGCTGATCATCGTTCGCAGCCGTCCTCCCCAGGGCGTCCTTACTATTACGGGTAGTGCATCATCATAATGGGTCCCCTTTTCCATTGAGGCTAACACTACGTCGACACGGGGTGCGGGCTGAGACTGTCAGAGGGGCGGCTCCCCCCGCACAACCTCTATGTTATCTAACCACTGATCCACACGGCTCCTATTGTCTATATTATCGAGACTTTCCCTATCGGTTTCTTCTTGTAACTGCGCAATGTCCCTGGCGTATTTCTTCATGATTAAATCTTCCTGAATCTCTAACTGCTTTTTACGAATCGCGGCGAGCTCTTCTGCTGCGTTATATTCCAGTTGCCTAATTCTGGCTATCGCGCTAGCTGTCGACCGCTGAACGAACTGACGGTGCGCGCGGTGCGGGCCTTTGTAGAGCGTCGATTGCTACGGGCGCGGCGGGTTGCATTGTCAAACTAAATTCTGTTGCCGGAACATTTTCTACAATCGCGGCGAGTGTATTGGTACGCGGGGCGGTTGTACTGCTATCAAATTTATCACTTGTCGACACGGACATAACGGGTTGCGGCGTCGCGGCGACGGATACGGGCGCGGGCACGGGCATAGTTGCTGGCGTTGGCGCGGGTGCGACGGAGGGCGCGGATGCCGACAGATAATCGAGTGGAGATAATCGGGGGCTTCCTCGAACACGCGTACTCCTACCGGCGTTTCGTCGTCGTTCCTGGCTTTCTGGCTACTTCTCGTCTTACGCATGGTCCTACGTTGCGGGTTCCGATCGTCTTCAAAAAGACGCACGTATGGGTTGCCGTTCCCGCCACAAGGGCTGTTACCAGACGAATACCGTTTGGCATCGTTAAGTGGTATTCGGCCGGCCGCGTAAACGCGATAGTAACAGGAAAGTTAGTCGTTAAAACGACTAACTACGTTGATGGTTGACGGAGATTTAGAAACAGAGAAAGATTTGAGATAATCTTCTATCTTCTTTCTTCACTAATGATCTTGATCTTCTATGCTCTTCAATCCGGCGACGATGGACCAAAGAAATGCAGGGGATGAGAGCAAAGTGGACTGTATTTAATTGTTTTTCTATATATACTCCCCTCTCAGAAGTGAGAGGAGGCCTGTGCCCAGCTGTGGGACGTATACAGGCTGTAAATTTACTTTACTATGTATACGCTAGGGGTTACTATTGTTGCAAATGAAATGAATATAACTAACTATTACTGAGCCTAATTCTGTGACATCTGTCTGACTATATAAGGTTGAGTTGAAATTAAAGCAGTTAAGAAATAATTCACTATATTTACAAAGTATTTACAATTTATGCGGCAGTTAACACTAAACTATTAGGGATTTTGAGGGCTTCTTGCTTGCTTGTTCTTTCAATTGGGCCGCTTGCTGTCGCTCGAATGCCGAAGCCGCTTTTTTTTTTGCGCCCGAAGCAATTAAAGGGCTACCCTATACGTAGGGAGGCGGAAAATGCATTACGCATACCACGATAGCCGGTCTATCGTGGTTATGAGGGGCTCACTGTCCTACCGGGGTCCCTAAGTGATACCCTCTAAAAACCGCCTTTGGGGACAGGCAACCGGCTGATTAAGCTCTATTGTGCCTTATCATGAGCGACCCTCTTTTGGGAAAAGAGGGCGCAGGCGGCTAAGTGCCGCTGAGGGAGTGCCTACGAAGGCAAATTAATGTTAGTTATTACAATAATTTTATTTAATTAGAGTTGGCCTGAGCCGCCAGGAGACAGTTCAGGTCGTTTGAAAGTTTATTAGGCGGGTCCGAGAGAGAGTTTCTCGGCCTGCGAACACGATAGCGAGAGGGGGGTGGGGTTGCATAAGAAGCTGCCTCACGAATTAAATGGTTTGGGTGCGACTCTGAGGCTTTGAAGAAGTTCTCAGAGAGTTTTTTTAAAAATTGTTGAATTGTTGGGAGCTCTAAGTCCCGATGAAGGTCGGCATTACGGACGTACCAAGGTGCGTTCGCAGCTCGACGACAGAAGAGGTTCTGAACTATTTGGAGTTCATTTAAAATATTAGGGTTTGCGTGGGCAAAGACGGGGCCCGCGTAGGACATGACTGGGCCGAAGCCGCGCCAGAGGCGCTTCTTATATTGTATCGGACGGTGCGGCGTAGGCACTGAGTTGGCGAGAGTGTCTGTCCTCGCGGGGCCTTTGTTCTAAGGCGGGGCGCGGGGGACGTGTCGGCGAAGGTGCGGTGCGGGGCGACGGACGAATCTACTCGCCGTCCGCAACAGCACACACCTGTAAGCTCTGACAGCGCGCGACATGTTATACTCCCGTTCGCTCGGGACCGTAATGGCGGGAAAATTTGCAAATTAGCAAATTTTTTGCTATATTGCAAATTTTGCTATATTTTCACTTTGAGACAATATTTATGGATAAAACTTACAGGAATTCTTGTTGAATGTATAAACTATCGAATAAAATTATTTTTGGTTGCTAGAAATTGTAATAAAATACGTAAATTACCCTGTATAGCTGTATAGTGGTATATACTTCAATTTTAGTGACAAAATTACTACTAATTTGAATTCTACACTTTTGTTTTTAGAGAAATTTATATGAAAATGTTTGGAAATATGTATATTTTTATGTTTTATGTGTTTCCATTCGTTACTCATACCAAAATATTGAAATATAAAGAAATTAAAAAAAATTAAATTATAATATTTTATCTGTGTGACATTTAGAACAATATTTCTAAAATAGTTTTGTGTGAATTTGAAATAAATACAACGTTAAGTTATTTGAAATATGTAAGAAAACTATTTTTACTTACATTTTACACTAAAAATAAATGAGAATGTGAAAAATACCACATTTATGACCCAGCCGCCATAATGGGCCTTCCAGATTTTGAAGCACTTTTGGCAATTTACTTTTCACTTTTTTATACCACAAATTATATATATATGTGTGTTCACTATATTACAAGGAATATAAAAAAAGTATAATACTTTCGTTTTTAGTCCAGACACAAATATAAAATTCTATAAAAAAAGACGGAGCACCTTCATCAAAGTGACACGTGGAACGCCGGAAGTTCAGAGTGATTTCTTTTTTTTTTTCTAAGAAACATTGCCAGGTTATGGTTTAAAATAAAAGAGCATATCTTTGTCTTTGATACTAATATCTATTGCATAGTGTCTTTGGTTTTGTTTAAAACGAAAAAATAGTTTTTTCATAGGTAGACATGTTTACATAATTCTGATCTAATTCGATCACTACTTGGCGGGCGTAAGGTTGGTATTGCGCGATCGAATGTGAGCATGGTTTGGTTAACAGGTTAAACGTTAAAAATGATGCAAGTCAATCGATGCAAATGACAAGATAAATAAATAGCTTGTCAAAATAAAGCAATTTCAAACTAATATTGACAGTTTTTTTTTTTCAGAAAATATGACCAGGAAAAAACAATCGCCCTCAACGAATATGTAGATAATGTATTGGAGAGGATAAATGAGAAAATAGAATTATATTCTATAACTGATAATTATATTCAAAGTTTCAATATAACAGCTGTAAATGGCATGGTAAAATGTTCTTTATTAAAGTTAATTCAAATTAAAAGCAGGGTATACACAAGGTTTTCGTATGGCAGCCTTGTAGGGTAAGCGCAAGATTGGGTGACCCCCCACAAGATGGAGAGGTACGAGTACGTAACATGTTATAACACACATTGATTCGGTGGAAGCAGGTGCCTAAGGATCATGCTTTGTGGCAAGGTACCTGGTGTAAATGATGCCGATTATACATAATTTTTGGCTTTAAATGTGCCAATAGTAACTTATTCTTAGCAAGTATTACTGCCATTTCAAATACACCACTGAATATCGGTCTCCCCCATAGATTACCACGAAGTATATATTTTGTGAACGAACCGAAAAAGTTAAATTTAACAATTTAAAAACTAACAAGAATGAAATATATTTCACATAATAGCATAATATGAAGTGTTGGCACAGACTGGAAAACGTTTTATCATAGTTTCTGATGTCGATATTTTCTTACTTTTTTGAGTGGACTAAAAAATATTACAGGTCAAATTAATAACTATAAATCGCTAAAATGATGATAAATGGTCTAAATAATTTAAATTTTCATCCCCAAGTTTTCCACCTTTAAAGTATTTTTTAATTTATATATTAACATACAGGCGAATTGGGAGAGTCTTCCTTTAAGACGGTTAAAATAATAACACATTTAAATATGTTTTAGAAATTTGAATTCACACATTGTTATTTCCAAGGATTACAAAGAATTCACAGAAGATCATTTGCGACTTGCAAGAAGGACGGTAAAATGCGAAAAGTAGATACCATTGTCGGCTTCACCAATATAAAGGTTAAAATTTACTAAAAGTTTTAAAAATTTAAACTTCTTTAATCGAACACGGGTCCACCTTTGTTGTTATTTTAGGTAAATTGCGCATACGATGCTGTGATTCATACGGATAGGTACACAAAAAGGCACGGAGATGTCGTTGTATCAGCTGATGAGTTTATAGCTCACATGAGCCTAACTCTAACGAAAGATCAAGAAACTTTAGATCTAATATTTGATTCTTTTCAGCATATTATGTAAGTATTAAGTAACAGCCATGATGACTATGCATTTAGTTCTTATCCATAACTAAATTTACCGTCGTCCTGTATTTTTTTTTAATTAAAAGAAGTAATATACCAAATACCTCGTCGGTTTTTAATAAGTGCATTCGAATGCAAACCTCGGATTCACAAATGTTACTTACATTCTCCTCTCCGTGACAATAATATATATCTCCGTGACAATAGTTCTCTATCACCTACCAAATCTCGTTCTCCATCACCTACCAAACTCCCAATTTATTATTTTCTTCTTAGTCCCCTCTTTCCCTATTATCTTTAGTCCCATTTCCAAATAGAATTGCCGACAGGTAACCAGCTGATTTGTAAAACACAAATGAAAAGTTCAAATGAGAATAGCTACAAGTTGCTTCGTTTACAAAGGGAAAGGGAATTGTTGGTAAGAAACGAAGTGAAAATGTTTGGAATGCAGAGAGATTGTAGTTAGTCGAAGCGATAGTAAAAGGAATGGCATATTGTGATATTAGATAGATGATAAATAGTTCAATTTCTAAGCTTCTGTTATGGCAACTCTTCATTATCAAAAATCCGCAGACTACTTATCTATGAACCTTGAAAATAGTTTCTGTATATCATCAATGTTACTAATTGTCTGACCTACATTATAAATACACTTAGAACATTGGCACCCCCTTATATATTGGCACCTACAGATCTTTCAATATCAAGTGATGAAAAAACTGTTCCATATCCTTTTTGTAATACAAGTGATGGATAGTGAAATCTTGATAAGACTCTAGATAATCTCGTTAAATCATAATCCTCAGTAAGTCGAAAATATTGCCATTCCCTTCCGCTGAACTGAACACCTAATTCGAATCATTAAGCCTTTGTATCTCGAAAAAAACGCTATATCAATGCGAGGTATTGATAGTACCTATTTATACCCTACAACTAGAATTTCATACTTCGTAAGCTTATTGCTTTAAAAGTAATTAATTATCAGTTAGAACGTAGTCAGAAAAGGCACGTATGGGTATTCATAATGATGTGTTAATCCCTACTTTAATGTATGGTAGTGAAAGTTGGGTCTGGCAGAGGAAGCACGAAAATAGATTTATTCTATTTTCTGTAGAAATGCGGTCTTTGAGGAGTATGCTAGGGTTGAATCTGAATGTTAGGGTGAGAAATTGCGTGATAAGAGATAAATGTGGTATGTAAGATGATGTTGTGACCATGATTTAGAAACGAATCCTTCGGTGGTTTGGTCATGTAGAAAGAATGAATGAGGAAAGAGTGACAAAGCAAATTTATATGGGCCACATTAGAAGTACACTTAACCGATGAGCATGTATGTGTAGATATATTGATGTAAAAGAGGCGAAAGAGGTATGTCAGGATCATGCCAAATGGAAGTCCGTAGTCTCTGCCTTCCCCTCTGGGTGACAAGCGTGAGTGTTTATGTGTATGTAATTAGAACTTAGTGACTAGCAATATCTTGAGAACTAAACGGAAATTAACGATTTTAACTCTTCGTGAAAAAATTTACGTAATCAATGCGGTAAAAATAAATATGTAACATAAAAGTTAAGACGAATATTTATCCGATTATAATGTAGGTGTCATTAAAGCAAGAGTAAAAAGGCTTTTGCTAAGTTAATTCAGTGCGCTTTATGGATAGAAGGACATAAAAGTTACATATAACATAGCCCAAAGACCCAAAAGAACTTGGAGTGAGAGCAGGAATACGACAGTAACTACGAATTTAGTTGGAATAAAGTATAAACTGTTATAATAATTCCTCCATGCATTTCAGTTGACTATAACTTTTAATATAGCTTTACATTTACAACTAAGGACATAAAATCTTTGAGGTTTAAATTCATTCATGGCATAGGTTTAAGAATGAGTATATCAAAAAAGTGGGCACTTATACTGGTGTAGACCATCACAAATCATACACAAGGTCACGAGTTATTTTTACTGGACATAATTTGTTATAAAATCAACGAAACCAACGCATCAACGAAAAAAACATTTTGAAACATTGCCAGCCTTATCCAGATTGCCAACCTTATCCAGATTGTAGTTATTTTTAATTGTTATTCAAATCACTCAAAATAAATACAACGGTCAGCCTTTTAAGAAAAGCATCGCAACAATGTGTATTTCCTATTCAAAAAAAGAAATCCCACCGAAAACATTAAAGTGAAAAGGAAGCCGACAACAATAAAAGTCGCACCGAAATTGCCCCCTTTTATATAATTTATGTTTTGGGTAGGTTATCAATAATTTCATAAAAAAGTTTATCTTTTGATAATTGTGGTTTAAGAATTTATTTTTCAAAAGAATTACATTAGAATTCACTTGAAACTAATTAAAACAGTAAATAAATACATAAAACGATGATAGTAGTACGAATTGAAACATAGTTAACTAGTAAACTAAATAGTAAACTAGTTCCCTAACACAAAAAAAATTAACAAAATGAAGTTATGAGTGTTCAACTGTACAATGGAATTAGAAAAAAGTTTATCTGGGAGTGACAGAGTGAGCGTACTTAGATTTAATTTAATGCGAAAGTACGTATTTATAGCAAGTTCTATATTTTTTATTCAAAACTGTTTAATATTAATATGTACTAGATATTTACATACTTACGACCTATTTATTTATAAATAGGTAATTATGTAATTTTAATAACGTTTAATCTCTGAAGATAGTTTTAGAATCTTTTACATCCGTTGGTAATTTATTATACTTATATATTAACATCTTCAAATTCTATTTTCTTTATTTTATAACTGGTTCTTAAATGAAATGGTTTCTTAATTTTTTATCCGTATTTCATGTTTTTTCGTAAATGTCATACTCGAATTAATATCCTTGTTTAATATTTTACATATTAATATGCATGTGTTGTACATATATGACTGCTTAATGTTCATAATTTTATTATACTCATATATTTTATGCTTTGGAGTAAGAGCTTTATAGTTAAATAGAATTTTTATTAGTCTTGAGTTCTTTGACGTTTTTTCTTGTGTTTACGCTTTACTGTTTTCAATTTCAACCTAGCTTCGCTTTATATTGGAAAAAATCTCAGGACAGTTTAACGCTTATCTAGGAAGAACTTGTAATGAAAAAAATATATTTAAATACAAATTTAATTATCCAATAATCCAATCGTGAGCCGTTTACGTGAAACACGTTACATATAAAAATATACATATCCTATAATATATTATAATATAAAATATCTAATATAAAAATCATTGTGTAGATTTCATTGTATATCGATAATAAATACAATGATTTGCTGTAAAATTTATCCATATATGAGCCTATTAAAATCCACTACCGAGCATAGGCCTCCCCCATAGAAGGTCTAAAAGGAAGAATTTCATAGTTTCCACGTGCAAGGTGCTCCAGCCCATCTCCTGGTGCAGTTTCCCATTGTCGCCTCTTATGACACGCACGGATCGATATGGGGTAGCAGATGTTCTAACACTACCGCTACACGTTTAATAATACTGTAATAAAACATTTTTCGATCAAAACTTGTAGCATGCATAGCGTCATACTGAACCAACCAAACTCTACAATTATACTACTTAAGGCAGGATATGCTTTCATTATTATATATATATATTTACTTTGAAGACAAAGTTATGTTCTTGCGACTATTTGCATTAATATTTTTCGACAACAAATATCGATAATTTGCAGCTTTTAGATTTTTCCCTTTATATACGCCTAATAATCTAGGTAACCTAGACACTATTAAGTATGCAAAATCACAAGTATGTAGGTCTTATAGTTTTTCAGTTATAGGTGGTCTATGTAGGTCTTATAGTTTTTCAGTTATAGGTGGTGCCGTGTAGTGGCGGTTAAGAATATCCACTACCCCATATCTTCCCGTGGGTGTCGTAAGAGGCGACAGAGGGAGACAGGCAGGAGATGGGCAGCAGCGTCTTCCTGATGACAACTGTGACGTAATAAAAAACTGCGGTTGCCAACCCGCTCGCCAAGCGTGGCAACTATGGCAAATACCCCCCAATGAATAAATACACAAACAGACGGCCCCCAGTCCCCGGCGGCCCCGCTATTCCTGGCTACGGTGGCGACCATGGTAACGGCGGGGCAGGGGGTGCTAAGAATCTCCGGTGGAGGTTCGGTTGCCACCTACGACGACTCGACCTGGCAACATATAACGCACGCACCCTGAGGACTGACGAGAAGATACTGGAGCTGGAAGAACAGGTAGACAAGTTGCGCTGGCATATTATTGGATTATCCGAGATCCGAAGAGAGGGGGAGGACACGGCAATCCTCGAGTCCGGCAACTTGTTCTATCACCGGGAGGGCGACCATCTGTCCCAAGGAGGTGTCGGATTTATCGTCCACAAATCTCTCGTCAACAACGTTGTAAAGATTGGGAGTGTGTCGACGAGGGTCGCGTACCTGATACTCAGAATCACCAAACGGTATTCGCTGAAGGTCATTCAGGTTTACGCACCAACCTCGGCACATCCCGATGAGGAGGTGGAGGAAATGTATGAGGATATTTCCAGAGCCATACATTCCTCCAAAACCTACTACACGGTGTTGATGGGAGACTTCAACGCAAAACTGGGCACAAGAGAAAGCGGTGAGCTGAAGGTAGGGAAATTTGGAGTAGGGCAACGGAACCGAAGGGGCCAGCAGCTGGCCGACTTTATGGAGAAAGAGGGACTCTTTATGATGAACTCTTTCTTCCAGAAGCGGCCCCACAGGAAGTGGACCTGGTCGAGCCCCGACGGTTCGACAAAAAATGAGATTGACTTCATTATGACGACCAGACGCCAACTGTTCAGTGATGTCTCAGTGATCGCAAGGGTGAAAACTGGCAGCGATCACCGAATGGTTAGAGGCACACTGAACCTAAACGTTAAGTTGGAGAGGTCTCGTCTAATGAAGTCAACGCTCCGTCCCCCCTCGTGCTCTAATCCAGAATCCCGAAACCTTTCAGCTCGAGTTACGTAACCGCTTCCAGTGCCAAGAAGATTGCAATGCAGTGGACGATATGAACGACAAGCTCGTGGAAACTGTCCATGCGGTCGGAGCTAAGTTCTGCAAGACCCGCCGCAGAAGAACACAAAAACTCTCCGATCACACTCTTAATCTCATGGCTGTTAGACGGGAGATGAGGCTGCAATCGTCAACAGATTTGACAGCATACAGGCAACTGAACAGACAGATCTCCAAATGCATACGGCGAGACTTACGCAACTTTAATACTTCTCGTATTAAAGAAGCGATCGAGCGGAACCAGGGCTCCAAAGTCTTTGCCAGAGATCTGTCTGCCAGAAAGAGCCAACTGTCAAGGCTGAAGACTGAGTGTGGCAACATCGTTTCCGGGACACCTGAGATTTTGAGTGAGATTGAGAGGTTCTATGGGCAGCTGTACACATCATCGTTGGAGCCACACGCAAGTGTGAGTAACGATCCAAGAGCAAGTCTTATCCGCCACTATTCCGATGATATCCCGAACGTCAGTCTAAGCGAGATTAGAATGGCTCTCCAGCACCTTAAAAACGGCAGGGCCCCAGGCGAGGATGGAATTACAGCGGAGCTTCTGAAAGCGGGTGGAACACCGGTACTTGAAGTCCTTCAGAAGCTCTTCAATTCCGTCCTCCATGGTGGCACTACTCCAGAGGCGTGGAGCAGAAGTGCGGTGGTCTTGTTCTTTAAGAAAGGCGACAACGCTCTCTTAAAGAACTACAGACCGATTTCCCTTCTGAGCCGCGTCTACGTGCTGTTTTCGAGAGTCATTACGAATCGTCTCGCACGCAGACTTGACGACTTCCAGCCTCCCGAACAAGCCGGTTTCCGAAAAGGCTTCAGTACCATAGACCACATACATACCCTGCGGCAGATTGTACAGAAGACTGAAGAGTACAATCTGCCACTTTGCCTGGCGTATGTGGACTATGAGAAAGCCTTTGATTCCGTCGAAATTTGGGCGGTGCTACAGTCCCTTCAGCGGTGCCAAGTTGACTGTCGGTATATCGAAGTGCTGAAGTGTTTGTACAGTAGGGCTACGATGGCTATCCGAGTACAGAACCAGAGCTCGAAACCTATCCAACTGCAGAGAGGTGTAAGACAGGGTGACGTTATATCCCCGAAACTCTTCACCGCTGCATTGGAAGACGTTTTCAAGCTACTGGACTGGAAAGGATACGGTATTGACATCAATGGCGAGTACATCACTCACCTTCGATTTGCCGACGATATAGTCCTTATGGCAGAATCGCTGGAGGACTTAAGCACTATGCTCAATGACCTCAATAGTGCCTCCCAACGGATAGGTCTTAAGATGAACATGGACAAAACAAAGATCATGTTCAATGTCCATGTCACACCTATGCCGGTAGTTGTTGGGAGCACTATGCTCGAAGTTGTTGACGAATACGTTTACCTGGGACAAATAGTCCGACTAGGTGAGTCCAACTTCGACCGAGAGGTCAATCGACGGATTCAACTCGGCTGGGCAGCGTTCGGGAAATTACGGCATATCTTTTCGTCAGGTATACCTCAATCTCTAAAAACTAGATTGTACAACCAGTGCGTGTTGCCAGTGATGACTTACGGATCTGAGACGTGGTCCTTCACTGCTGGCCGTATGAGGACGCTTAAGGTCGCTCAGCGAGCTATGGAGAGGGCTATGCTCGGAGTTTCTCTGCGTGATAGACTCAGAAATGAGGATATCCGCAGTAAAACCAGAGTGACCGACATAGCCCAACGGATTAGTAAGCTGAAGTGGCAATGGGCCGGCCATATAGCTCGAAGAACCGATAACCGATGGGGAAGAAAGGTTCTCGAGTGGCAGCCTCGTACTGGTAGGCGTAGTGTAGGGCGACCCCCCACTAGATGGAGTGACGACCTGGTAAGACATGCAGGAAGTCGATGGATGCAGGTGGCTCAGGACCGTGCTTTGTGGCATTACTTGGGGGAGGCCTATGTTCAGCAGTGGACTTGTGAAGGGCTGTAATGATGATGATGATGAGGTGGTTTAAAAGTAATTCGAAATAGTTCGCTTAAATATATACACCGCCGATGCGTATTGTGCATCTAGATAATATAGCCGCCGTGTATCTAGATCTATAAGTAAGAAAATCCATACTATACGTTGTATTTTTTTTTTATTTTTTAGACCGAAATTTCTAACAATAAGCGGACATTTTAGATTGTTGATAGGAAATTTCAAGCATTTGCTTAAAATACACGTTCTCACTTATATTTCCAACCTCATAGCTGAGCGGATAAGAATGTTACATGGAATAACTAAATGTGGTAAGCAAATTTTTTCTCCCCTTGTAAAAATACATGACGTACTACACAAACTCTTACGTCTGTTAAACGTAGTGATAGGCATAGATTACGGGCATGTTAAAAATATGAATCAATAATATAACTTTTATTTTGGTTTAGAGTACACACTTGAAGGTGCAGGACCGCAGGACGAGCGTTGGAAGACGGAACCGAAGAAGAAGAAAATGTGATTAAAAATCAAGCAAATTCACACATAAAACATGAAGAGAATTTATTTTAGCAAAAAGCAAAAGAATATAAATTGAACACCTTAAGCCAACAATTTACTTGTTATTTAAATTAAGGCTTTCAGGTGTCTAATATAAAATACAATAAAAATAGTTTTCTGAACAGATAAGCTCTGAATTATATAATTTCATTTAATTTTATTCATTTTAACTGCAATTAAAAGTATTAGGTAAATCAAATTACTGTTTTATTGAACTGGCTACTTTGAACTGTAATTTCTGTATGAGGTTTGAATTGGAATTCTTATTTCTAATAAAATTATAATATTTGAGGAATATTATTTCTTTTTATTAATCATTTTGTTCATTCTTTTCTTTGGTTTTCGTTTTTCTGCAATATCGCTATATTTATAATATCCATTAACTCTAAGAAAATTAGTGTTATTCTTGAATAGGAATTCCTGTGTGGAAACAATGCGTAGCAAACGACATGCACAAAATGTTTAGGCATTGGCTTAATCGCTTTCGTTCGGAAAACTTTGACCTTACAGGTTCCTCCTGGTCACCCGGGGAAGAAGGTTAATAGTGACGAACTAAAGGCGATAGTGAGAGCGGATTCGTTCACTATGGCTGAGTTAATGCCTTCTTTTGTTTTACTTAATTGTCAAAACAATAACTGTTTTTTATTGCACTAGAGGATAGAAAATTTCATATTGATTCTAATTATTATTAATGCCAAACTTCTTCACAGAAAAGTAGTCTCTATATATATAAGTTTTTATGGGTTAAAGTGCTGTGGGTGGGTGCGATCTCATGAGAAATAATCAAAACCGAATATGCATAGACTATATGTAGCTTGCATGTTTGCGAAACTAAACACTAAAATAACCCAATACAGTAGAATTAAAGCCTTTTACAAAATAATGTGCTTACAAAAAACAGTAGGTACTAATCAAAGTAGGTTTTTCATAAAAGAAACATAACGAATTTAACAAATATGTGTTCACAATTTACAATAAGTACCTACAGATACTGTAATTATTGCCATTTATCATAGAATTTTGTTTTACTGTTTTTTATTTTTTAATTATAAGGGCTATCCCATTTGACACTATTCGCATTCACACAGAGCAATACTTAAGAAGAAATTGAAATTTAAAAATGCGTTTTTTTTTTAATGTAATCAATAGGCGAACTATAATATATTATTAATTTAATAAGTATTGATTTAAAAAAACTTTTTGTGTTTATCTAATAAACTCAGCATACAAATATAATAAAGCCACATGAAAAAATATGTTTAAAAATTGTGTTTTTAATAATAACTTATTCATATTTTTTTGACTGCCTTGTTGGTCTAGTGGTTGTAGTAGTGCGACTGCTGATCATGAGGTCCTGGATTCGAATCCCAGGTCGTGCCAAAAAACTAATTATTGAGTTTTTCCATCAAGAAATTCTCAGTAGTTGTCCAGAGTCAGAAAGTTGGCGGTCTCTCACCCCCGTACCTCGGAAATCACGTAAAGCTGTTGGTCCTGCGCCTGATCTCTCTCTGTTCATGTCGGTTTACCGTCCCATCGGATTATGAGAGTAAGGGAATAGTGAGTGCACCTGTGCTTGCGCATACACTTGGGCACTATCATCCTGTCCAGCGCCGATGGCCAGCCTCCAGTTGAGGCAGGATGCCGTGGCCGAAATTCGGTCTGGATGACATTATTATATATATTTTGCGAATTAATAAAATTTAAAAAATGCTTCTTATCATATAAGCATTTTTTTATAATATACTCCTGTGCGAGTGGAAAAGTTGACGAAAGACGACCACCTCTTAATTAAAAACGAACCTAGTTCGGCTACTGAGGGATCACTAGTAATAATAAATCAGAATACGAATAGTATAATACTCCACTCTTATGTAGGTACATCAGAATAACATTACACCTTTTTCATTTCACCGTAGTCGGTTAAGTTATGTGAACAGCCTCCTTTATAACGTTCCAGTGTGTGACATAACAAACACCATAACACACGTAACGAACTGGAACAAATACACTCGAAAGTTCAAAACTCAACAATGAATACCGGACATAAATCATGCGCGATTTACTTAATAAAACTTGACATACTCTGGTAATTGACTATAAATTTCGAATCAGGAACCTAGTAAACGATATCTTTGTACATCTCACGTAGAATTCACATATACACTGCCCGAAAGTGCTCTAAATTATGGAATTTACTATTGTTTACGGTCATGACTAGAAATGAAAAAAAATGTCAAACTGACATTTGACAGTAAGCCTACGTCGTTGCCTCATCGAAATCAGGTAAATAATGTTGTTTCATGTTAAAAACAAAAAATCTACCCCCATGTCGAATCGAAGCAACACACTGGATAACACAGCTTAGAATAAGATTTTTTTGCACTAGCATTGTATTATTGCAATAATTTATACATTATCATACGGCATCTTTATTGTCTTATTATATCAAAGTAAACTACAATTTTAAAACTGCTTCATCAGGTAAAAAGTCCTTACCCGACGTAAACGTACTAGATGGCGACACAAAGTACAAGTACTTGATGATGAAGAACTTGAAGATGATTTTTAGATAGATAGTACCTACAACATGGTAAATCAAATTTTAAAAGGGCTATTAATATTTTCTCAGGTTTCGGCGAGGATCATAGGAACTTGGCAGTAGACATATTATACTTCCCTTTGGCAGTTCCAAAAAGTTTTATTGTCGTGAAATTGAAAAATTACGTTACCCGATTTTGAGTTCATCATCATCATCATCATTACAGCCCTTCACAAGTTCACTGCTGAACATAGGCCTCTCCCAAGTAATGCCGCAAAGCACGGTTCTGAGCCACCTGCATCCATCGACTTCCTGCATGTCTTACCAGGTCGTCACTTCATCTAGTGGGGGGTCGCCCTACATTTCGCCTACCGGTACGAGGCTGCCACTCGAGAACTTTTTTACAATAAAGCCACTGCAGCTCGTAAGAATTTTTATTGTGTTTTGGACTGGACCGTGTTATCTGAATGAACATATCAAAGATGGTTTAAGAAATTAAAAAAGAGGATTTAATTTCAATGATGAATCTTGATCTAGAAGACCACTTTTAATTGATGGCGTATTTAAAGTGATAACAAAAGAAAATTCATTTCTTACATCACCAAATATTGTGTCGAAACTAGGTTGAAAGTAGTAAACCGTTTCCGATCAGTTGACTAAATTATTACTCCTAACAGTTTACTATTAATTATTTCGAAAACAAAAAAAATTAAAAGGTGAAAATAAAAGGATCATTAGTCATCATGTTCTTCATCAACAGCTCGTAAGAGCCAACTGCTGGACATGGGCCTCTCCTGTTGTAGAACGGAGACTATTTCTGTTTAGGCCAAATCGCGATAAACCTGTTTGACGGTTAGGGCCAGCGGGCATTCGTTTTGCGGGCTGCGACGGTGCCAATTAGTCTGGAACAATCAATTGTCCGCGACGGCCGTGTCGATTAGATGTTCCGTTCTGTTTCCGGTCACTGTAACATTAACATCACTGTGATTGTATCCGTAACAAATAATTTAAAATAAATAGTTCGAAGCCGCCTTAGCCGTCAAAACTACTATGAATCACAAAGTGGCACTCCGGTGACACAGAAGCAAGAAAACTCTGGGCTACGAGCAAGATATATCCAGTATAGTGCAGAATAAAATCCAAAATAACATTTAAGGTTAGAACATTTCACATAATTCGAAATTCATTCTGTCAAAATACTTCACCCTGTCAAGTTGACATTACTAGTGTAATAAGAAGCAAAACAACGGTTACAGACATAACGCACAAAATTAGAAGACTGAAGTGGCGATGGGCGGGGCACATGATAAGAGGAAGAGATAAATGGAGCAAAAATGTGACGCAATGGTATCCAAGAGAAGGAAAAAGGAAAAGAGGGAGACCACAAAAAAAGTGGGATGATGACATCAGGCAAGTGGCAGGCGTAACATGGAACAGGGTGGCTCAAGAAAGACGTGAGTAGAAAAGGTTGGAGGAGGCCGTTGCTGACTGGCAAACAGATCTTCAAAAAATAAGAAAACCTCAAATAAAAGACTAGATTAAGGATAACAGTAGTATTAAGCTTTGCATGTATTTCTCTTTTTATGTAATTTTTGATCTGAATAAAAAGGCTATATATAAAGTTGCTTGTGTGGTATTTTAATATCGTACGAAGGAATTTTTGCTTTGTCGGGTGGAACGCTAAAATTTTGTGACCCGGGAGGAGATCGCGTTCCTCTTCGATTATAGTTTTGCTTAAGTGACGTTAGACTTGAGTTCAGATAACGGTGAAAGCCCACTGGAGTGATTGCACCTTGTGGAGCAGGGTAACTCATGTGGGTCTGCTGGCCGATTACATCGGTGACGTCAGGTTACATTACACACTTCTTACACCACTCACACCTACCATTTACTTGCCTCTGACGGTACCTTGTGGTCGACCCTACCTCCGGAACTCGGTAAGTTTGTGTTTGCTTATCCAGCTATTACATAATAATTATCCATAGGCCGTTTGGGCCCGAACCCTCTGTTTGCCCGTCGAGTTGGGTTACTGATGGTCCCTAGCCCAGTCGACTTCTGTCGGGGCAACTGAGGGCCGTAACAATTTCACTTTGTGAGAATTTTGTTATCTTTGTACGTCATTGTTACTTTTTTGCTTTCCATCGATTTCAAGTCAGCAATAATCATAAAGTATTTCAAATAATTATTTCCAAATGAATAAATATAAATACTTTTCAATTAGTAATAATTGGGTAGAAATAATTAAAAATAAAGCGGCGTAGAATCCAACACCGAAACAATCGACAGTTGATGTCTCTATATTCATCTTGTTTACGCCATACATAAAATATCTAGACCAGTGACAGTGGTTTGGTCATGTGGAAATAATGAATGGGGAAAAAGTGACAAAGAAAATTTATGTTGCAGAAGTGAATGGTAGAGTC